TCCCCTCTAAAAAAAGCAGATACCCATTTAAGAGCGCGCCAGATATCCCATAACATTGCAACCTTAGTGAGAGTCGTAATTGTGGGACAGTATCAAAGGGTTTCGGGAAGTTGACGAAAAGCACATCAGTAGCGTGACCGCTGTCTACTGCCTCAGCCTAGCTTTCACGAGGTTCAAGTAAATGTGTCAGACAAAAATCCCTTACAGGAACCGTGATGTGCGCCACTGAGAACGTTAAATTTATTCAGGTGGTTCTCCACCGAATCCCTCACCAGTTTTCCAGAAAACTTACCTAATACAGGCCAGCACAGCACTGTCACCGCCCTTGAAAATCGAACAGATGTTTGTCTCCTCCAATTCCTAACCTTAGGCACAACTGTCGAGCGATATTGTAAACACGCATGTAAGATGGCCACTTATTTCAGTGGCCAATTTATGCAGCAGCTTCGGATGAGTTGAATCATGGTAAGACGTTTTGGAAGGACTTAGTCTTTGCAATAGCTCGAAGACGTGTCTCCGTTATGCTGACTTCAACAAGGCAAGTACGCTCCGGGACTCTTGTGAGCAGTTCCACCACAGGTCTCACGAGCAAAGACACCAGTATATTGTTCGCTAAGTATACAAGCCTTATCATAGTCGGTACGCACACAGGTCCCGTCCGCTCGTAGTAACACTGGTATATAGAAGTTTGTATCGCTGCGCCTCTGTACATAAGCAAAGAACTTTGGATTTGTTGCATACATTTATTTCTAACCTTTCGATAGGTTTTATAGGTTGGATTATGAAGCCGCTTAGTAGGTTTACCAGCGCTCAGGCCGATTCCTGAATAGGTATTTACCCGTATAATCCTTCCATGGGCATCGCAATGGACCTTTGGTGCAATGGTTTGTGTGCTACGGTTATCCATTGAGCTATACTGTGTGGTGCAGTCTGCACCTTCAGAGCCACTCATACCAGATTAGTCAATGGTTAGAGACCAGACAAACTCATTCTCCTGGCCCTCCAGGTTGGAGTGAGGGTTGTTCCTCAGTTCATAAAACGGACTTTCTGTAGTCTCCCGCCAAATCCGCTGCCTTGTGGTCAGGTTTTTTTGAACAAGAGGCCTTGGTTGAGAAGCTTAATCATTCTCCTGTCTAGGCCTGAGCAACCTGACAGTATCCTGCACAAGCAATACAACCTTACGACTCTTCCTTCAAACAATCTTCTGAGGCTCTGGCCGTCGCAGAGGATAATAAACGGCGCCTTATCTGCGGAATCGAGCAGGGTAGATAGGGGTTTGGATGCTACTGCTCAGGTCTTCCCGTCTTCTTATCTCCCTTCTTGCGCTTTTTCATTCTTAGGTCTCAGCTCCAGCTTTACTTTTATCCTTTCATTTTCAATCCCCCAATTCTTAGCCCATCCCCACCTTACTTCAATAGTCGCTTGTCCTCTAGTTTCAAATCACACACAGTCGCAAGGTGTCGCTCCAATCCAGTCGACAAGTCCATGCTCAACCAAGCGGACAACGTCAGTTTATCCGTTTCCCATTGGAGTCCTCGCGTCTCGCTAAGACTGGCATGCCTCAACGTGCGCACTTTGCTACAGATTGGCCAACAGGCAACACTAGCCCGAACACTAGAGACCGTATCGATTAATATTTATTGTTTATCGGAAACCCGCCTGCAACATTCGACCTCCGTGCCTACCCTGCGATCCCCCACATGCGACGCTGGCGGCACATTCTTAATGCGCCTGTCTGGAGATGACACAGCTTCAAATGCACGTCAAGCTGGCGTCGGCATTGTTTTGAATCACTGGGCTGAAGCTACCCAGATCGATCGGATCCTAGTCAACAGCTGGATGTGCACCGTTAGATTGGCTGGCTAGTTCCATGCTTCGAAGTCGCGCGGGGACAAACTTTGCCAGTTTGTCATTGCAGCTTACGCCCCCACAAACTGCAGCCCTGATTCGGTGAAATAGGATTTCCATCACCAACTTAACGACCTCCTTCTTTACAGAAGAAACACTGATACTGTGATGCTTACTGGTGATCTGAACGCTAAAGTCGGAAAATTGTCCTCTAAATGAGCATCATTTGGGCGGCCAACGTGGTGTATGCTCCCGTAATGATAATGGTGAGCGGTTTCTACACTCGTGTCAAGATGCCTATCTTTTTCTCGCGGAGCACTAACTTTCGACATAGCAATCGCAGAGGAGTGACTTGATGCGCACCAGCCTCGAAGCAGCCATGGACACAATTTGATCACATCGCGATCAGTTACCGCCGGAGAGGTTGTGTACAAAACTATCACTCGATTTGGAGCACAAGCGTGAACTCCGATCATGTTCTTGTGTGTGCCGACCTTCGGGTGCGTTTCGGTGGACGTTCGCAATGTCGCGCTGAGCGCATAGATACCAGCCAACTGGCGAAGCCAGGTGTTCTGAATGCGTATCAAAGTACGCTGCATCTGGGCTGAGTAAGCGCCCAATGAGCACCGTTGAAGATCACTGGTCGCATTTTCGCCAAACGTTACTATCAAAGGGCATGTTTTCATGTGGCAAATTAAATTGTCAACATAGACATTGTGTCTCTATGCAGTATCTAGAACGTTTTGTTATCTTCGCAGTTTGGCTCATAGTTGGTGGGAACACCGTGTGAGCAATGAGCGTATTCGACGTCTTGTTTATGGTGCAGAGAGAAGCGAACCGCTCAGCACCGTTATTTCACTCACCAGGCTCAGATGGTTGGGCCACGTGTTAGGCAGGCCAGCCCACCGACTCGCGCGGGGTGCGTTATTTCCGCGCCGGGCGTGCGGATGGAAGAAGAGGAGAGGTAGCCAAGCAATGACTTGGTCAAGAGGAATGAAGCCCCTTACTTTATAGTTGGTCTCGGTTAAAGCCTATCGGCTCCCTGGTTGTGGATAGAGGGACGGTGAACACGTTTGGTTGGATACACTTGTTAACATGGTTAGGAGCCGACCTCCATATCGTTTGTGTTGTGAGTTTCTTTGTCTTTCCCTCTTCGACCACGATCTTTAGGCATAATATACGGCACAATAGTCGGCTGTTAGCTCTCCGGAACGATGAACATCGGTTACTGGTGAGTGAGCTGGCGTGCCTCTGTTTCATGTTTTTTATTCTTTGCTATTGTATTGCGGCACCATTGCGGCACCAAATGAGGATAACGTGTACAATGGATGAATGAACTCTGGAACTTCTTGATGCTCGCCGACGTATTCCAGCCGGAAGCGATTACAATGAGACTCGCAAAAATCCCAGGGCAAAACTCAATGCTAACCAGAAGAAAGATCGCGAAGCCTGGTGGTCTCCTTGTGCATCAGAAATGGAAACATCCGCTGCCGTTGGTAACCGTTTCATACGGGAAACGGGCAGCAGGACACCTGGTGTTAGCAAGACCATGCGCGACGAGAGTGGACAGCAATTCCACAGCATGTCAAAACACTTGCAGCGTTGGGCCGAACACATTGGAAAATCGATATCACTTTTGTTCGGGCATTAGTTGCCCTTCTTCCTGGGCCGTCTCTTTGGACCCGCGCCGAAGTGAAACGAGATCAGACTGTTGAAATTGAATAAGACCGCCGAAGCAGATAGAATCCCCCAGCCCTCTTTAAATTCATGGCAGCTGCTCTTGTAGATGATTTATACAAGTTACTGGTGAAACTGTAGGAGCAGGAGACTGTCCCAGCAGAGTGGAGCTGTTCCGCCTTTGTCCCAATTTTCAAGGGAGGCTCCCGTTTGGAATGTGGTAATCACAGTGGATCAGTCTGGTCACAATTGTCTCTAAATTGCTTGCATCCACAGACTTACTGGCCCTCGTGAAAGTCAGCTTCATGAGGAGCAAGTCGGGTTTCGTCGAAATGGAGGCTGCAACGACCACATCTGTGCTTTACGTCAATTGTTGGAGCACCGCCATATTTATTGGCGATCCACTGTTGTAATGTTTCTCGACATTCGGTGGATCGAAGTGCCTTTTGGTGCTGTCTGTCGAGGGAAGGTATGTCCGATAAATACGTAAACATTACCACAGCGCTGTACGCGCAGAGTGAAGGTTTATGGCAAATTGTCGCCACCCTTCAATATCTCCAGCGGTGTGAGACAAGGTAGCCTATTGTCACCTTTCCTTTTTAACCATGCCATTGACGAAATCATGGAAACAGCATTCGCTGAACACAACCTACAAAGTGCGGAGCCATTTCTTAGTGAGCGACTTTTTAACTTGGAGTGTGCGGACATTGCCCTCATCTGTGATAGCTCCCAAGCGTGCCAAGCAGAACTGGACAGATTAGCACTGGTTGTCAGTTGTTTTGCTACATCGAAATGCAAATTCTTTCTCCAAGATTGGCACGAACTCACTCCGGCGCTGACACTTGGTGGTCGTTCAGGAATTCAAGTACCTAGCAGCTATATTAGCGCCCGGGGGATGGAATATGAGGTCACAAATCGTATAGCAGAAGGTCGAGGTGCTTTTGCCAACCTCCGCCACATGTAGCGCCGACGTGACGTCACTTTCGCCATGAAGGGCAGAGTTTATAATGCAGCCGTCCGCTCAACCCTCTTATACCGTTGTGAAGTCTGGTCCATCAGGTTAACAGACAAAGAGCTAACTACGTTCGATCATCGCTGTCTTCGCAGCGTAGCACATGTCCAGTGGGAGCACCGCGTGTGCAATGTATGTGTTCGGTGTCGCACATCTGGTGCAGGAAGAGCGAGTAGACCGCTCAGCACCATTATATCACGCACCAGGCTCCGATGGCTGGGCCACGTGTTGCGCATGCCAGCCCACTTACTCCCGCATTGTCTGTTGTTTGCGTACCGGGGTGTGGATGGAAGATGAGGGGAAGCCAAGCAATGACTTTATTAAGAGTCCTCACTTCGAAGTTGGCGATATGGCGAAGAGCCGGCCTCAATGGCGTTTGTGTTGTGAGTTGCTTCCTCCATCCCCCTCCAACCACAACTTCATATCTAATATGTGTTAAAATATTTAACATTATATTACTCACTTATTGAATGCTTTGTACTATTGCTTTTGTACTGCGGCACATTAGCTGAGGTGCGTTTCTTGCCCTCAGCTAACGTATATTGATGATGATAATGAATCTATCCATGGAGGCTGCGCAGGTCTCCCTTTCTTTAATAAGTGGATTCAGATGCGACTGGAAAGATAGGAAAATCTCTTGATTGTTCTTTCTTGAGCGGATGGTCGAGCCAGTAGATGATAAGGTGTTCCGAGGTCTTGATGGATCTAAAACGAAACATACAAACCACACCCTGGTTAACCAATTACTGCACACGTTCCCTGCTGTCCCCGCTGTGCCGGTCACGTGAAGAAAGATGTAGGAAGAAAATAGAAAAGTGGGAGGAAAGCCATTTAAATGGAGGATAATACCAACGAGTGAGGAAAATCATGGAGTATTAAATCAAAGTAGAAAGACGGATATGGTCAGGAGAAAGAAAAGGTTTCATGTTGCCACCCAAGGGCATCTAATTTGCGCTCGAAGTCCTTAACCGTAGGTACACTGACTACATCTTCTGGAAGCGAATTTTAGCGCTCAATAACCCTACGCGATAACCGAGTTTCCGCCCTGATCCTGTCAGAACGCGGCTTGTGTAGCTTAGTGGGAGGACCACGAAGACAGAGCAATCTAGCAAGTGCAACCTTTCCAGTTAATGTGCGGTAAGTGATGATCAGGCCTACTCTAAGCCGTAGGCAGTGCAATGAATACCTACCCAAACTAAGTACAGGCTCGGGGTACGTTTGCCCTCGTAACCCGCGACCATCCTGCTACCCACCCGCAAGACCCTCTCGAGCTCCGTTTTGTCCAGAACGATGCAGAGCGGACAAACCTGGATGCAGTATTGCAAAGGGGGTCGATCGAAAACAGAGGAGAGCTTCACAAAGATGCAGGCACTTAACGCTCAGAAGGAGCGGCGCGTTAGGCACAACCTTCTGAAACCCCCTACCTGCAACCTTCCAGTTGTTGCCGTAATGCAAAGTCGAGAAATAGACGACACCTAGGTCTGCTTATTTGGAGACAAGGGGGAATTCGACCTTACCGACAACGTACCTAGTAGGTGGGAATGTTGTTACTATACTAAAAACGGGACATTTAACCTGATTAATTGGTAGCAGCTATAAAGTAGACAAGTCCCAGAGTCTATCCAAGGCATGTTGAATAGCCTCAGAACTCCCAGGGACATGTACAATATTCCACAACTTGAGGTCGTCAGCAAACAATAGCGATGATACCCCAAGCTCCCCAGGGAAACCGCTTAGGTAGATGGAAAACAGGAGCAGCGAAAATACCAGGCCTTGTGGGACACCGTTAGCGGTGTCCCCACTTAAGTGACCAAAAGTGTCCGCTGGAATGACCTTTGGACATACCTGAGTAACCAATCTTTGTGCGCCCGGCCGTCCCATATGGACACTTGTTGGACGACTTTTGGTCACTCAGAATGATTTTTCAACCCACCCTTAACATGAACGTTGAATACATTTTCCCTAGTTGCAAATAGCGCCAACAATAAGACGAAATCGATTCCAAAATTGTAATTGTGCAATACTATAGCCGTTAAGCTAAACCGACCATGTTTCTGAGTGACCAAAAGTCGTCCGAATTGGGACGAATTGTGGTCTCACAGGCTGTTTTCGAATGCACCTTGCTGATTGCAAATATTGTCAACCTTAGGCAGAAATCGGTTGCCAAATTGTAAGTGCATAAGACGATAGCCGTTAAATTAAATCAAAAATGTTTTCGATTGACCAAAATGCGGCCAAAAAGTTTCCAATTGGGACGGCTGGGGGCATGGAAATTGGTCACTCAGGGAGCTCCAATGGTCAACCGCACTGAGTGAAATTACGGTCTTCTTAAAATGTAACGCGTTTAAGGCAAAGAATGGAGGAGCTTAAGATGTATGATGTTATTTAACAGCATATCTGGACAGACCATATGACTTATTTTCATATTCACTTTTTGCCTCTGCGAGTGACCAAAAACACTTTCCAATGGGACTGCTGGTCGTCTATTTGCGCGGACCGGGGGAATCGTGTCAAATGCTTTCGAAAAGCATATCCATTGAGTGGTAGAGAGCAGAAGGGAGATTCCGTGTTAGCTAATTCACTTCCCGATCTTCCAAGGATTGCAGACGTAGTAGCCTTGGCATAGCTCAGGATGTAGTGTCAGTCCTGCAGGATCCTGCAGTACTTAGTAGGATGTCTAGCAAACGTTTGAAACTCGCTTCTGACTGCGCATTGATAATCAGGCTTGGCAGTCGGTTCCAGTCAATAATTACTCGAGTAGAGAAAGCAACGTTTGAACGGACTTTGAACCGCCTCGGTTTAAACAGCTTCTAGCTGTGACCTCGAGTCAAACTGTCAAGTCTTAGCTGAAAAAACAGCCTCAGCTCGTTTCCCAATGCTTCTCATAAAATACGTCTAGCATAGATGAGGTCTCCGCGACGTCGCCGATAGTCTAAGGGGAAAAGGTTCATCCTCTGTAGTCGGGTGGGATAGGGAAGTTCGCGTAGTCCAGGGACAAATTTCGAGGCACGTCGCTAAACTTTTCGATCTTGTCACTTGCATGCTTCGATAGTGGGGCTATGGCAGGAAGTCCGAATTCAAGGATGGAACGGATGTGGGAGGTGAAGAGAAGTCTAAATATCTGCGGAGTCATTTTAGAGAATGATCTCCTTATGAAGACCCACCTCCTGTTCGCCACAGCAGCCTTCTTTATTGTGTCACGGGTAGTTCTGTGATCAGAGGATGCTATTGTCCCCAGGTCCTTTTCCTGAGTGGCAATATTGAGTAAGTACCCGCCAATGTGATAAATGCCCAGTGGTTCAGCAGCACCGATGGGAAGGACAGAGCACTTATCATTGTTGACCGGCAAAGTCCGCTTGATAGACTAGGCGTGTAGTTGATCAAGAGTTTCCTGTAATCGGTTGGCTTTTTCCAGGCTGGACACTTCCGACCATAGCTTGAGGTAGTCTGCATAGATCAAGCAGACAGTCCGTTTGTAGCATACTTGGTAGGTCATTGATATAGATCTTGCACAATTCCGGTACTATGACGGAGCTTTGCGGTACACCACTAGGCAGGCACGGGAAATGAAAGGGTATCGTTCCGGCCTCGTAAGAAGTCACTGATCCATAGTAGGACGTTCCCTGTTATGCCAATCCCGCAGAGCTTAGAGTGTAGTTCCTGATAAGGGACTCTATCAAAAGCTTTGCTGAAGTCGATGAAGACCACAACTAAGCGTTGTCCAGTGTCCAGTGACTTAGCCCACTTCTTTCTTGCGACTAGCAGGTTAGTGTTGCAGAAGCGTCCCCTTCGGAAGGCATGATAGGTAAACGAAGTGATGGTCAGATCTTCGCAATGTTGATGGATATCACATTTAATGAGCTTTTCCATGATCTTGCAGGCGACCGAAGTCAAGCAAATCGGTCGATAGTTTGCAAGGTCCTGGCGGTTTCCACCCTTGTATTTCGGCATAACTACACCCTTCTTCCAGTCGAGAGATGGTCGACCAGCTTTAAGGGACAGCTGAAAAATTTGAAAGTGGGGCGGTAATGAATTCTGCTACCATCTTGAGAAAATGGGGTGTAGCCCATCTGGGTCTGGTGAGGAACCAGAGTTCAGTTCTGGTAGTAACTTCAGTGTAGCACCTGCATCTAGATCGATAAGTCACAGAGGTACTGGACGTGCAAGTACATGGCTGTTTGCCACTGTGCCTCCTTTCGTACATACTGTAGAGAACTGTAGAACCAAGACGTCAGCTTTGGCGTCATCATCATAGTGTTGTACTTGGCTCGTTTGTAGAAAACACGTGAATTCCACAGTCGGCCTCGGAAGTTGTTAAGGTATGATAATAGATCCTTTGACCAGGAAAGGGATTGTTCCGTCAAGTTATGATCATATCGTTGCCTCTTCACGTTTCTGCAGGGAGCAGAAGTTCCTGATGGCCTTGTATCTAGTGTAGTCTGAGTATAAGATCAGAGATTACAATCCCCGGTCCAACAATACGCAAAAAGAAAATTCACGGGATCATCCTGTCGTGCCTGTCACAAGAAGTACTTAGACCGACCGTCATAAGACCATAGGATTGTAGAGAGCAGAAGGAAAACCCGTTATCAGCTCCATCGTTTCCCGATCATTGTGTGGAGGCCGCGATTTGCTGCTAAGCCGTATCCCACAAGGGACCGTGACAGCTACAGCGGAAGCTGCAAGCGCTCGTCATATTTAAAAGGTAAGAATGCAACATTCCCTAGAAACATTCCTCGGTCTGGGCATCGAGCACATGCTTCGGTAAGTCGTCCCGATCGTTGACTACGAGAGTTGATAAAGCGCGAGCAGCACGAACTCGGTGCCCTCTGGGTTTAAACAGTTTCCAGTTCTGGCCTCAAGTTGAACTGTTTGCGTTGAATTGAAAGAACGCATGCAGCTCCGTCCCCATCACTCCTTTCATGATGTGCCTGGTGAAAATCAGGTCACCGCGACGTCGACGATAACCCAGGTCAGGTCACGTACAGCGGACGATAGAGGTCTCCGCCTAACGAGCGTCCTGTTTCTTGTGCCGGTAAGTGAAGCGGCCCCCGGCACTTCGACGTTGGATTGACTCTTCTTGCTTTTGCAAAGGAATGAAGCAAGAACAAGAGCAATCTTTGCACTTTCATGTGTCAGCATCAAAATACACTACATATTCCAGTACAATTACAATAGCCGCTGAAGTCTCAGGAAAGAAGTGGTTAGGATTTTTGGATACACTTGCAGCCAACGCGCATAGTTAGGCTATGCACACATTGAAAGTGATTGCAATGGTTTGTGTATTAACATTTTTGTAAGACGACCATGGTGAAGTGTTCATAATGGTTAGATGCAGAATGTATGGTCACCTCACTAACCCCTTATTCCTTTTTTCTTTACTTTATGATTTTGTTCTCATATGTTTATATTAGTTGCAATTACCTTATGTTTGATTTCTAGTCCTATTTTTGGCAGACTAGGTTTTAGTAGTACGACAGCTCAATACTTACCGATCCTATCGAAAAAATGGCTCTGTGAGTAGTACGCGGTAACTCGAGTTTTTGGATCATTGGAATGTAGAGAGCAGAAGGAAAAATTCTTTGTCAGCTCTATCGCCTTCCGTTCGTCACAGCGATAAAGAGAGATTGCAAATCAGTATCAATGGCACCGCTGCATTGACACAAGAAGTAGTAATACCCGAGTTTAATCAACAGGTAAGGTTTG